GGACCGGTCAGGACCTACTCCCGGCGGAAGAAACCCAGCCAGGAGCTGGGCGGAAACCCCTAGGGGGGCCCACTTGATGTATTTTGAGTTTTGGGAGGGAATTTTTGAATGTGAGGGGTGATTAGGTAATTTGTAATCTTCCTTTCATGATAAATTAGGAGGAATAGGGGGGAGAAGGATTATCTTGAATTTGAATCTTATTTGAGATCTAGGGTTTGTGTTCTTGGGCTCTAGGCTACGGCTAGAGATTTGGAGAGTTTTTCCTTCCTCTCGAATTGAAGGAAAGTTGTATCTTGCAAGTGCTTTTCATCCGTTATCGAAATAAAAGTGTTTGCAGTGTTTTTCCTACGTTTTTCTCCTACGTTCCCTCTCAGATTTTCGTGCAGTTGGCTGTTTTTCTGCTGTGGACAGCAGTTTTCCTTTGGATCCTCTTGGTTTTGGTGTGAAACACTTGGAAATCCAAGTGTTTCCTATCACATACTTCATCGTCGTACATATCAAAATGAACAATTAAGAAATCCCTAATGGACATTGCCCAATTGAACCTTGTGAACTTATCTATATTTTGGGCAATAATAACGAGTCTCTTTGGGTTTGTAGTTATTGTTAGAAAAATAAATTTGACAATAGAAACTTGATGCACATATTTACAATAACGACATGGGGGCTTGATTTGTCAATGCTATTCATTTCATTTTTAATTTCAATTCAAGTATATTTTGTTAGTGTCTCAGTTTCCTAGTATATCAAATCACACCTGTTTGGCAAACCGGTGTTAGAGCCACTTCATATACAGGAAATCATAGCTCATGCCCTTTGATTATGAAAGTTTGCTTGGGCAAATCCTAACATGACAACAACATGTAGATCATGGGTGTATTTTGTTGAAACGAAGGGAACCCCTTAAACTAAAATATGTTTAACATATTCAAAGTGTCATCGACTTCATCGCATAATATTCCTTTTAAAGGGTTGCGGATAGATCTAAATATTGAGAGTCTGTAACGGAAATTAACCTTTGGGATATATATCTGCAACAAGAAAAGGTTAAAACATTTATTAATTTGTTTTATATAAAAATTTTAGAAGATTGAATAATATATTTTTTGTAATATATGTATACATGATTGTACACAATATTTGCATTGATAACAGAAGCTTGTACGTAGTGTGTGTATAGGAGCTTGTACACAGCGAGCACAAGAGCTTGTACTTTGTACAAGCTCGTGCACAAGCTCCTGTACACACTATGTACAAGAGCTTGTACAGAGTGTGTACCAAAGCTTATACGCAGTGTATATAAGAGCTTGTACTCACTTTATATTTAATTAGGGGTGTCAATTCGGGTCAACCCGTCGAGTTCGGGTCGAACCCGACCCGACACGTAGTGTGTGTATAGGAGCTTGTACACAGCGAGCACAAGAGCTTGTACTTTGTACAAGCTCGTGCACAAGCTCCTGTACACACTATGTACAAGAGCTTGTACAGAGTGTGTACCAAAGCTTATACGCAGTGTATATAAGAGCTTGTACTCACTTTATATTTAATTCAATATTTGTTATTTTTAATATCATCACTGAATTTATTGCTTATACAAGCTCCTGTACACAATGTATAACGGGAACATTTTTTTTACTCCCCATATTTATTAACATTGGATTCAATGTAATCTAAAAAAAAAAAACATATTAATACAAACCTGCACACATTGTGTTTAAGTAGTCAAAACAGTAAATGTAGGGTTAATTATAAAATAGAAGATCGTAAAATAGGATATATGAAAACTCTGCATCCGGACTCCACACAAAATACTTTTTCCAGTTACAGAGAAACCCAAAACACTAAATGCAGGTTCGTTGCTTATGCCTTCAAAGTGTTGATATTGAAATAATTGAGAAATAGAAATGTCACAAATTAAAAATTACATGAAAAAAAAAAACTATAAACTTAATTTATTGCTTATAGTAAACCGTAAACAGTAAATAGGAAGGATAAAGCGATGACGGACATTGCATTCTTCAAGATAAAGAGCAGTTTGTGAAGAGAACAATCCTTGTTTGACGATGAAAAACAACATTCTGACCGCAAAATTCTAAAACTTTTGACCGCGTGATTTCAGAATTGAACGCTATGTAGCGGCTTCGTTTTTTGAAAAGTATTACCTCAAGAACAGGCCGGGTCATTGGGTCACATGTTATTAAAAAAATTCACATGGCTGCACAAAATAAATTGACCCAAAAAATATGTGTCAACCACGGATTGGAGTCTGGACATAGAGCTACGGCCGGACTCCGCACAGAATAATTTCTCGTGTACCAAGGTGGCCTTAGGTTTTGTGCTCATGTTTTTCATGCTCAAGTTTGATATGTACTGTGTTATTTTCATCCATGAATTTCATCTTTTGCTTCAAACATTTGAAACTTTACTGATAAATTTTACTCGCACAAAGTCTCTGATGTGCACTTTTTCTCTTCTACTAGTTGAGGTACATATGATCCCTTGGGTTATTTTTTGTCTTGATTATTGGTTTATTTTGTTTTGTAACCTACTGAAAAGCATATGGTAAAAGCATATACGAGGTGTTGACTTTACATGATTACTATATGAATGCATATTTTTTATTCTAATAATAATAACAGCTTGTTTTCACTGTTTTTTTCATTAAAATAATGGCCTCAACTTAAAATGAAATTAAGATAATACCGCTGATATTATCCAAATTGTCAGAGCAGAAACAGCTCATTTGAAACAAAGGTCAAAATCAGATCTTACTTCTTAAACCTTGGTCTATACATGTCCTTAGGAACCAGGACACTACAACCTACATCAAATTTTAATGTATAAAGGTTACATCATGTAAACATTTGCATCACACCTTGGTATCATTTGGTAGTTGCTTTTGTCTTAAAAGAAGAATAAACTCATCTGCCTCTCTTGAAAAATGGATCATTTTATGCCTTTATTACATAATTTTGTGCTGGTTATTGTTTATGAACACTTTACCTTCCATTTTCTTAGCGCAAGAATTTTGCATTCAGATACATTCTTCTGACATCTATCATCTTCATGAAAGCAGAAGAAACGGCTCTCCTCCATTTTAAAAAGAAGGTAGAGGTGTTCCCTATAAGAGTTCGATTTTCATCTTTGAAAAGCCAACTTCTGCCAAGAAATGATTCCCCGTACTTCAAAAAAGATACACTTCTATCGTTTAGGTCAGGAAGGATTCAATATAATATAGTAGGATTCAACTATGGGATTACAGAAGCCATTACCTATGACAAGGTATGATGGTGAGTTTCTGAAGTTTCACTCGTGCTCTTGTAGCTTTCATATCTAAAGCAAGTTAGGCTTCAAACATAATATGTCTACTTCTTTTCACTTATGCATATGAACTTTTTTAATGACGTTGTTGTCAAGGTTAATGTTTTTGAAATTTGTTTGTGCAGGTAATGACTAGTGCGAAAGCTCTAGTTGTTGTGCAAGCTTTGATGTTTATTTTGCCTCTTGAAGTACTTGCGGAGACATGTGAGGCTGAGAACTCTTATTTCAACATGCCTTTTCTATTTATAATAGCTCTTATTGGGGCTACTGTTGGTGGTGAGTGTTCTTTTATCTTGTTTCTCCAGAATTATTGGTTTTATAGCATTAGTTATTGGGTTTTGTGTTGTTTGTTCTCTGAATTTCTTTGTATTGAATATATATTACATATGATTGATTGACTGTTATAAAGGCTTGCAATGTAAATTTTACAATAAATACTTGGAAGGTACAGAAAGCAGTTAAATCATATTTCAAGGCTTTCACTTAGAAGAATGAGTTATTGAATTGATGAAGAGTTGGCTTGCCACTTTGTTCAGCAGAGATAGGTTGGAATATGTTTCTCGTAACCATCATCTAGAGAAACCTTTTCTTATAGAATAGTCCCTCGGTTGATACCATCATAGATGCTTTTGGGGGTCCTTTGGCAAATAATTAATAAATTTTAGCCATTCAGACAAAGTATTCATATCAAATCCATTCACCCTAATTTTGTATATTTAAAAGTACTTGAAGAAACAACTTCTACTTCAAGAAACAACCGCCACCTTACCTGCCAAATTTTTATCTTTAAAAGTAGATAATCTAAGAAAGTTTTTGCGATTCCTTTTTGTCAAGGGCCATCTAGGAAGACAAGTAACATAAGAAAATACAAGACAAAAGAGGTCGGCGGTTCTATTCATGGGGATAAGGAAAAGGGATGAGGCGCTACCGAGCTTATTCAATCTAAGAAGGGTTTTGCAATAAAATCATTGGCTCAAAGAACTTAGCATATTTAGTTTATTTTCATATTCAGTCTTTTATTGTATTTCCCTTTTAGTTGTGTTAGTCATGCATTTGTCTTGATGTTGTAATCAGGCTTTGCCATTGGTTTTGTGTAATTATTTAGTTTTTGATTTAATTTTTGTGCTTAAAATGATGTAAGGGTATTTTGAAAATTGTATTCCCATGGCAATTGGCTTCTTTTATAAATAGGAGCTATTTTGTTTATTGTTAATGAATGGTGAAATGAATTTTTCTATTGCCAATTTTGTGAAGCCCCCTCCCTTGTTTAGTGCTTCCTTTGGTTACCATGTTCGTCATTACCTTTGCTAAGTGCTACGAGTTCTCATTGAAGGTCAAAATCCTCAAACCCTTGAGTGGTCTTGGCTTAGCCTGGTTGATCCAATTTAGTCATTTGGCTATTCCAACTATCCAAACAACCCCATTTCAAATCTTTTTACTCTTTTAATTTTGGTCAAAGTTTTGAAATTCAAATAAAAGGAATTTAATCATCTCCATAGCTAAAATGACCTTTGCTATTCCCAATAAATCTACTCTCTTAATCCCAAAAGTCACAATCATCTCTCTTTCCTCTTACACTTGGCTAGCCCCACCCTTTTACTAAACGACTTTTTAACACGTTATCCCCTTTGATCCATCTTCCCTCAACCTAATTATTCAAGTTTCATCCCCATTCCAGTTAACCTTTCTACTTCCCCAAAGCTTTACTCCTTCCCTTCTCCATATTCCACCACCCTAACTCACTCCACTAAGAACAAAGAGCTCTTATATTCCACTTCCTTCAAACCTAGGTATTTACTTCCATCCTGTACCTACTACAGCATTCAACCTCCATACCAATTACCATACTTTCGTACTACCTCTATCCACATACTAATCCATATGGCCTATTCCCATTAGCCTTGTTATATTTTGAGAAGAGAGTATTATTCATTTAACTTGTATGTTTCTCATCATTATTTGAATTTCTTTGTTAACATCCTATCATAGAGGATTTTGTGATTAATAAGCTGTATATAGTCCTTCTCAATGTTTGAGCAATACTATCGAGTAACTTATTGGTTAACTGAACAAGTCTTTTTGAGCCTTCTAATGAGTAGCCTATTGAGTTTAAAAATGAGACTTTAATTAAATAAATTACCAAATAAGCAAGAGCTTAATGTGCAAAAGGCAAAATAGCTTGTGCTCATGAACAAGAGCAATTTAATATTAAAAAGAATAATACTCTCATATAATCACATATTAATTAAATTTGTGAGTATATTATTGAGCCTTAATTGAACTTCTTAATGAGCTTTAAATGATATTTTTAATGATCATAAACAAATTAAACAAGTATTATTAAATCTTGTTCGATTAATTAATTAATTAATCAACCATTAACGAGCTCTAATTGAGCCGGGCCACTAATTGCTTGTCTAGTATTTTGCTTCATTTGCAGCCCTAAACTTAAGCGTTGGAGTGTCTTATTGAGGGATAGTTCCTCAGGATAGAATCACCATATTTATGGCTGTGTACGAGAAGTAAATTACATTAGAGATGTTGAATTTTGAGAATTTGGTGAGAATATTATCACATATTAAATAAATTTGTGAGCATATTATTTAGCCTTAGTTGAATTTTTTAATAAGCTTTAAATGATATTTTTAATGGTAGTAAACAAATCAAACAAACATTATTCAAGATTGTTCAATTATCTATAAAGCATTTATAAAAGTGTTAGAGCTTATTCGATTAATTAATTATATTACCGAGCTATAATTGAGCCGAGCCACTAATAGCTTCTATAGCATTTTAGTTACTTTGTAACCCTAGACTTAGGCGTTGGAGTGTCTTCTCCAGGGATAGTCCCTCGGGGCATAATCACTATATTTTTGGTTGTGCACAAGAATCAAATTACATTAGAGATGTTGAATTTTGAGAATTTCTTCAGGCTCAAAATTGTTTCCAGCATGCAACATTAGTGATGTGCTAGGTTCAACTTGGTTTCAAACGACTTGTATTAAAAACCAAACTAAACTGTCAAGTTCAAATTATATTTAATTTGATTTTTGGTTCTATAACATAAGTCTTTATGAATTATTATTATTTATTTAAGTTTAGCTTAATTTGATTTCTTTTGGTTCTAAAGTAGTTCTTATAGTTTGGTGGGTTGGTTTGATGGTTAATTCTAAATTGATGTATCGAGAAAAGGACCAAAATGTCCCCCAACTCTTTTGAGAGACCAATTTGGTCCCTCAACTCCCACAAATGGGACTTTTTTGATCATGCCATATAATGGTAGAGTTGATAGTGTTAAGTATGAGAGTAATTTGGTCATTTCTAATTAAAAATATTTAATAAATGAGATTGAGTATGTATTATAATTTTTGTAAAAATTTTTATTAAACTTTTCTTTAGTTAAAAATTATAAATAATTTTACTATTTTTAAAATATTTATGTAATATAGCAAACAACCAAATTTGACATTTCTTTACAAGCTTTACAAATGCAGAACAAGCTCTACAATTACTCGTAATTAAAAAAAAAAACTTTGACATGTTTCATTACATACATTGTAGATTAAAGAAGTATACATAAAATTATTAAACAAAAGCAAAACTACATTTCATTTAATGTGGTTCATTCTATTTGAATATTGTTCATTTGACAGAACATTTTTTCCATTATTTTTTATGGCTTAATACTGCTAATAACATATTGATTTAGAGGGATCACTGAAACAACTTTATCGAGCATTTCTATTTTCAATCAAAATACATAAGTATGTCCATCCCGCAAACAAAAAATCTTGAGCAAAAGACAATACCATAAAGTATGTCCATCCCTCATACAAAAAATCACTAAACAAAAGCAAAAATTACTTTTCATTAAAGGCTTGTCCATCCCCTATTGAAAGCAAAAAAGGCATGCAACTGAACCAACAAGAAAATTTAGATATATAATGTGCTTCTAAAAGCTCCTTCAATGAGATTTTTTTCCTTTTGAAGGTGTAAATTTACTGAAAAAAAGATTTGATTGGATTGACATAGCAAAAGAAAAAGTCAATTATGAGGGAAAAAAGTAAAATCAATATACTAAAAGTTTTGTATTTGAAGATCCTTGAGTGAGAACTTTCAAAGCAGGTTCAGTTTGAGGTCGACACTTCAACAACTCCGAGGGCTAGTTAAAAAATAAAATTTTAAATAAAAATAGTTATCAATGTAAATAAAATTGATAGGATGATATGACTCACCCATCTCAATCAATAGTTGAATAACTTCCTGGACTTCTTCATGTCCCTCTTCAGTATTCATTTTCTTATCACATGTTATGCTGTTGTGTCCACTGTCTACATTTTTTTGACAGTGAGGCTTAACATTGGCTCTCCCTAACTTTTTGGGGAGTGAATGTGATGCTTCTTCATCGATAGTTCTTCTTCGCATCTTCGATGGCCTTCCCCTTTTTGTTTTATTATATTTTGGTGGCAATGGTGATATTGTGGTACTCATTGACCACTTATTAACACCATTCAAAGGCTTTATGTTACACTCATAACTTCTCATATAAGTCTTTGTTTTGTAGCAATCATTATCATATAAATTGCAGCACAAGAGTGTTCACATGGTATTCCACTTAACTCCACTTCCGATAAGAACAAGATTTTAAGTTTAAGTTGACCTTATACTTCTCCATGTATGGTAATTATCTCATAGTTATCATCTGATTTGTAAACTATGCAAGAACCTGCTTCATGCATATTTTTCCCACAATTTTCTTAATTATAGGGCATAGCTTTCATGTCCAATTTAATGCCTTCTCCTTATTCTCCAACATTCTTGTCATAACCTTAGCTCTAATACTTTCAAGCATTGAGACAATGGGCAATTCTTTAGCATTAAGAATGTATGAGTTAAAACATTTGCATATATTGTTGAGCAAAGTGTCATATTTAGGTATAAAACTAAAATGAGACCTAAACCACTCAGTTGGAGGGTTCTCACTTAACTATTTATATGCTGCGACATTTAAGTTCTCCAACTCTGTCGTCCTGAAGTTGAATTGGTTAACAGTGCTCGCCCTTGCTGCTGCCTATAAGGCATTCTTGATAGCCATGCTAGTGAAGCCTATTAATTTAAAATCTTGATGCAAATGCCTTACACAGAATCTATTGGTAACATCAGGTAAAATATTCTCGAAAGTAGGTACTAAAATTTTTTGTTTATCTAAAATAAAGGTATAATGTTGTTGATTCTCCAAAATTTGTAGATCTTTGCCTAACAAACTCAGAACCATT